GTGGCTCGCCGTTCCCGTTCTACAGGGACATCTTCCTCTCGAAGGACGACAAGCTCGCCTTCTTCCCCGACCTGGAGGTTTTCGGCCACTACAAGTTCAGCTCCTCTCAGAGCGACGACGACTCTGAGTTCGAGGGCAGGGTGCTCCAATGCAAGGATCAGGGCCCTGTCAGGCGCGCGGCCATTCATAATCGACTGCTACTTGAGAGGCAGCTGAGGCCGTTCACTGCCGCGTGGGTGCCTGGCCCCAGCACTGTTGATGAAGCTTCTGATTTGGCAGACTGGAAGCGGGTTTGCATCCCATACGTTGCCAGTTTTCTGGCAGATCCAGCACTGCAGCCTCTTGTCCAAGAGGCCGCTGATTCCGCGGGGCATGGTAACCTTGCGGTTGCTCAGCTGGACATGGCCGGGCAGATCTGCGAGCGAGCGTGGCATGCTCGCCGTCGTCAGCGGCAGGCGCATCGTGACTACCTCAACAGCCTCCGCGACATCGACCACGATGATTGGCAGGAAGAGTTGGCTCGCAACGCCCTGAGCTACATCGACGCGCGCCGCGAGCTCGATACCAGGGCCCCGCAGCGACGGGAGACCATGTCTGATGCTCCAACGTTGGTTTTGCCATTTTGTGGTAGGCCTTACCTTTCCGCATCTGCTCAGACGTTTGCATCAGATTTCTCATATTCCTGTGCAGGCGAAGTGCGGCCCCCTGTGCAGATGCCCGCTCGGCCCCGTCAGGCGTCTACGGTCCCTGCAGCCGCGAGTTATCCTAGTTCGGCGGCCGCAACTGCCTCGGCACCTTTGGCTCCGAGGATTTCTACGTGTGCCTCGATTTCGGCGACGGCATCACCCCCGAGGTGCACTCCGATTTCGGCTCCTGCCTCGGCTTCGGTTTCCTGCGCACCGAGTACGGCTACCGGGGGACCGCATGCGGAGGCATCGGAGGAGGGCGGTGCCAATCCTCACTCAGCCCGTTTGTTGTTCGCCAATATCAGTGAGTGGGGCCCTAAGGCTCTGTCATTCATGCGAGGAGCAGGCACCACGTTTGAGACTGTCGCCCTCGCTGAGACCCATGTCAAGATTAGTGGCATGGAGGTTGCCCGTGCGGAGCTGTTCAAAGACGGATGGAAGATGGTTGGCACCCCTGCGTCGGCATCAGCGCCCTCATCTTCTGGCTCCAGGGGTGGCGAATGGGTTGTACACAAGAGGCACATTGCAGCCACCTCCTGGGAGCGGCTTCGCTCAGCCAGACCGAGAGCTATTGAGAGGTTTTGTCCCAGCACCCTGCATCTCAAGCGTGGCAATGTTGTGCTGTTGTCGGCCTACCTATTTCCTGGGCCCAAAACAGGTGGCATCAATACTCCCCGCCTTCGTTCCATCAGCAGGTTTGTCTGCTCGCTGGCTGACCCTCGGATAATTTGTGCAGACTGGAATTTGGACCCCGACGAGCTGACCATGAGCGGCCTTCTCAAAGTTTGGGACGGGGAGATTGTCACCCCCAGCGGATGCAGTGCGACTTGTACCCTTGGCAGTGGTTCATTGATCGACTACTTGGTTGTCAAGAGGGGTTTTGCTGATCAACTTAGAGTGAAGCCTTTCACGTTAGTTCCATGGAAGACACACGTTGCCCTGGATATTGACATCCTCTCTGGCCACGCGGATTGGCGGCATCCGGTTTTGGATTATCCGAGTGAGCTTCCACAAAGGCCCATGCCCAAGAAGGCCTCAGACCCTGACAGCAAGCGCTCACGGCGCCGTGCGGTAGCTCGAGTCCGCAGACGAGAACGACTCAGCGCCGAACTGCAGGGTGCCTTCGATGAGGTCAATCCTCCTGATGATGAGGTCCCTGATGACGAAGCTGAGCAGGTACCCTTTCGGTTGGGGTCGGACGCGTGGGCCGCTGCGGCCTCTGCGGTTCGACCTTGGACACGTGCCAGTTCGGACTCGAGGGCCTGGGCTTTCCCCACAAGCGCGGCAGATGACGTCCAGTCCATGTCCTAGTCTTATCAACGCTGGGTATCTACCTTGGAACTGGCTATATTACGTACCGAAGGCATTCCGACCGACCAGCAGGCCCAGCACATTGGACGAGGCGATTTGTACGGCCTTACTCGGCGCAAGCTACAGCCGTCCCCAGGGCGCACTCATATGCGTAACCCTACGATGAAGTTTTGGTGGACGATGTCGTCGTTGGTAACACGTTGCGCCTCCCTGCGCCGACACGACAGGGACCCCTTGCAGCAAGATGCCCTGGCTACATCCATTTCCAGCCTGACTGACCAGGCCGAAGCCCAGCCGAGGGCCGTTCTATTCGGCCCCAGGGCCACTCACCAGGAGGTACAGGAGTGGTTTGATGTGGCCTGTCTCATCTTTGGGCCGCCTCTGGACGTCGAAACCCTGAAGCGGCTCGTTGAGGTCACGGAGACTTGGTGCTCGCGTTCCTGGGGCAGGGCCTTAGTGTCCTCGGGCGCCGCCTACGTCAGGTGGGCCAGGGACTGCTGGCGCACCAGACCATCTGTGGCCCATCGGCACGTGCGCGACCCTCAGCAGCCTGCAGCGCTGGAAGTCCCTGGCGATGGACCTGAGGAGGCCACTGGCGACCCTGATAGGCTTATGGGGCACAAGCTGCAGGCGTGGCGGACTATCTGGACTGATCCGCATGCGTCTCGCGAGGACCCGTGCATGGGTATGCAGTTGTTGCTCCAGCGCGCTCGCGGCCACCCCATCAGCGAGCTTGAGGACGATTGCATCATGAGAGTTGTCTCCAGGATGGCTCCCAACAAGGCTCGAGGTGTGGACGTCCTCAGCCCCATCGACATTCAGATGCTGCCGACCGAGGGGCAGCAGCAGTTCGGCGACATGCTGCGCGAAGCTGAGAGGGTAGGCTCGTGGCCTGTCCAGCTTTTGCTAGCCGTGGGAGCGACCGTCCCGAAACCTTCAGGAGGTGATAGGGTTACCGGTGTTTTGCCGACCTGCATGGGAGTCTGGTCGAGAGCTCGGGCCCCGATCACGGACCAGTGGTCCCAGGACCTCGGCGAGTTTTGGGACACGGTGATCCGAGGGTCCTCGGCTCTTAGAGCGGCCCTGCGGAGGGCCATCTTAGATGAGTCCTCCTTCCAGCTGGGTTTCACCTCGGCCTCCCCCCTCCTCGACCTCGAAAGATTTTATGGCCGCGTCAGCATACTGTCACTGATGCGTGTTTCGGTCGAGCAGGGATCCCCGTCGATCGTCGCCCTTTTAGAAGTGCAGATGTTCCTTGCTCCCAGGATCCTTCGGTCCAGGAACGTCGCGTCGGATTTAACTTTTCCCACCCGCTCCATTGTTGCAGGCTCTGCGCGCGGTGTCAAACTCGCCGAGGTTTTCCTGGGTCCGATTTTGTCGGCCGCTCATGCGGCCTCGGGGGTCCGTGCCCCTGTCTCCTCCGCGGGCCTCTGGACCTCTGTTGATGACACCGTGGCGCGGGCCGAGGGTACTGAGGAGAATGTTATAGCTCAACTTTCCACGGTTGGCCAGTCTTTCGCCCGATCGTTTGCTTTGCATCAGCTGCCCGTGTCGCCTAAGACCAAGGTCATTGCATCCTCTCCTAAGGTTGGAAAGCGCATTCTGGCCAACCTGAGGGAGGTAGGCATCCCAGCTTCCCTGGCGGTCCAAGCTGTTGACCTGGGCTGCGACACGGGAGGTGGGGCTCGTCGGGCGGTCGTTAAGCTCTCGGACCGTCAGAGGAGGGCCCGTCCACGTGCACAGCGCATTCGACGCTTGCGACGCCACGCCAAGGCGGCCAAAGTGTCCCAGGGGCTCTGGCTACAGGGGGCGCTTCCCCAGGCCGTTTATGGCCATCAGGCCATGGGCCTCTCCCCATTCATCAATCCTTGCCTTGAGGCTTCAGGCGCCCCAATCTGTTGCCAATAAAAATCCAGGCCGTTGTCTTAACACGGTGCTATCTCTATGTTATGCCGAACGCGAGCCCTTCATCGCTTTGAGGGCTCAGGTTTTATTCACGTGGTCTGACATGTGGAATCGGTTCCCTGAATTGCACGCCCGCATCACCCGCTCGTGGCATCGCATTCGGGGCCGCCTCGACCTTTTGGCCTCGAAACGATGGCGTCGGGTAAGGGGCCCGATCGGGGCCGTCGTCGACACGTTACTTGATGTTGGCTGGAAGCCTGTGTCCCCTGTTGAATGGCACAGACCTGTGGGTGACCAATATGAAGCTTGGCACTTTCCTGATCGGGCCACATTGAACGTCTTGAGGGCGACTTCGATGTCGCTGAATTGGTCGACGATTTCAAGGAAGATTTGAATGCTGTCTTGTGGGCTCAGGTATCGTCTCATCCTCACGGCGACGACCTGGCCGAGGGGGCTGACCTCCAACCCTTGCGCCAGGAGCTGAGGCGTCTCGGGCGTCGGGATCAGTACGAGCATGTAGGCGTTCTCACGACTGTCGTGCCAGGGGGCCAGTGAACCCACGTCCGCCAACATGAGGCGGGGTATGCTGTCGCCACTACCTGCCCCCGGTGCGGGCTGGCACCCGACACGCTGTTCCACAGAGTGTGGGAATGTCCAAAGAATTGCAATCATGAGGCCTTCGAGCTCTCTGACGGCCTCTGTCACCAGGCCAGAGTGGGCCACGAGGCTAACCCCGCCTTGTGGCTCCGTGGCCTGCCTCCGAGGTCTTTAACTTGCCCTGTGTTCAAGGACGGAGGGGCGGATGTGGCTTGGGAGGTGGGGTCGTCGCCGTCGTCAGTCGAAGGATCCTCTGTCGCTGCGGCCAGGTCCCCTTCGGGGCTCCTGCGGGTCTTTGGAGATGGCTCTGGAGGCGCCTTCAGCTTCGACCCTCGCCGCCGGCGTGTCGGCGCGGCCGCTGTGTTGGTGGCCTGGGATGGCACCAAGTGGTGCCGACTAAAGGGTTGGGCCTCCACCATCTCAGGCCGCCGTCAGACGGTCCCCAGGGCGGAGCTGTTGGCCTTTGAGCTGGCGCTCCGCAGCGTCCCAGGGGATTTTGAAAATGTCACTGACAACCAGCCCCTTTTAGAGGGGTGGCGGCGGCGCCGTTTCCGTCACAGCAGTGGTGTGAATTCGGATCTGCGGTTTCGTATCCGCTTGGCCCTAGAGGGCCGCGAGAACGGGATTTCTGTTCTGTGGACCCCCTCCCACCTGGATCCCACTGACCCCTCCTTGTCGGAGGACCAGGTTCTTCTCGCGGCGGGTAATGAGTCTGCTGACGAGTTGGCTGGCCAGGCTGCACAGGAGTCTTGGGACCTTGCTACTCGTGGCCAGCGCATCCCTAACACTGACAGATGGGACGCCACTTGTTTTCTTATCCGCCAACGGGCCGCCCAAGCGTTGGCGGAGTCCATTCGTGTGGCCCCTTGGACCGCGGACAGGCCCAAGCTGGGCCGTTCCACAGTCACTAAACTTCAGGCTGCCCTTAGAGGAAGCTCGCACTGTTTAATTAAAACTGGCGCGAAGTGGATTTGCTCACTTTGCTCGACGATCGTTCCCTCGGCGAACGTTTTCGTGGCTTGCGGCCAGCCCTGCCCCGCTGTGGACGACGGCGAAACGATGCAGGAGTTTGGCCATGGGATTTCTCGTGTGAGGCGGGCGGTGTCGGCGGGGGGGGTTCTCTGCATCCCAGTCACTGTGTGCTTTTTTGGCCCGAGATTTCGTTGTATTTTTGTGCTCGGTGTGGCCGATCGACTGCAGTCGACCCGAGGCAACTCCTCAGCGAATGTTCCCTGTGCTCTAAGAAAGGGCACGAGAATCTCTTTCGAATTCGCCGAGGGCTTTTCCCAGGCCACAAGGGACCCTCGGCCCCTATCTTGGAGGCCGCTGTCGGTCGGGTCCGACGCGTTGAGGGGCGTCGGTTAATCCCTGCCGCCTGCCACTGTGACTGTGGCGATCATGACACTCATGACACTCCTCCTCCTCCTCCTCCTCCTCCTCCTCCTCCTCCTCCTCCTCCTCCTCCTCCTCCTCCCCCTCCTCCTCCTCGCTGGCCTCGTCCTCGTCCTGGACGCGGGCAGCGGCGACGGACTCCGCACGCGCGGAGCCTCCGGCGGGGGAGCCGAGCTCCACCGTCGTCGCCAGCAGGGGCTGCGTGGGGGCGACCACGGGGGCGTCCCTGGCGCCCTGCCTCCTGGCGCTCGCGGCCAAGGCCCGGGCGAGGGCGCCGAAACAGCTGCAGAAGCCGCCGGGCCCGCCGCCCCCGCGCCCCCAGTCGCGGCCGCGCGAGCACTCCTTCGAAGGGCGCTCCTTCGAAGGGCGCTCCGCGGGCCCGCTCGCGCTCGATGGGCTGCCGCCGCCGCCGCGCTCCGACACGTCCCCGAACCGCCAGAAGGAGCCCTCGGAGGTCAGCGCTGGACGGTTTCCCCCAGGGCCGTAGGCGACCCGAGGAGGGGAGGGCGAGGAGGAGGAGGGCGAGGAGGAGGAGGGCGAGGAGGAGGAGGAGGGCGAGGAGGAGAAGGACGAGGAGGAGGAGGAGGAGGAGGAGGGAGGAGGAGGAGGAGGAGGGGGGGAGGAAGATCGAGGAGAAGGGGAGAGGATCTGGAGGAGGAGGAGGAGGAGGAGGGGGAGGAGGAGGAGGAGGAGGAGGAGGAGGAGGAGGAGGAGCAGGAGGAGGAGGAGGAGGAGAGGAGGAGGAGGATGGAGGAGGAGCAGGAGGGGGAGGAGGAGCAGGAGGAGGAGGAGGAGGATGAGGAGGAGGGGTCGCGTAAGCCCTTCGGAGAAACCCTCCAGTCAACGCGTGCCACTGGTACTGCCGGTGCTCGGGCTCGATGAGCCCGGACGCCAGCGGTATCAGCGCGTCGCCTCTGGCCATCGTGGCGCACGTCCGGGTGCGGAACCTCCGCAGCAGCGCCAAGTGCGGCCCCGCGGGGTCGCCGAGCGCTACCAAGTAGGGGCGCCCGCGCGAGCCGCTCGCGTCCTGCACGGATAGCTGCGCGAGCTGCAGCGAGACGGGCTGCGTGAGGCGACTCAGGTTCTTCCAGGCGTGCCGAAGGGTGCTCCAGGGCGCCTGCACCCCAAGGTGGGGCGACGACAGGGACATGTAGTGCCCGAGCCTGACGCGCTCGACGCCCACCTCGTCCACGAGCTTGGGCAGGGCACCGCGGAGGATTATTCCCCCCATGGAGTGGCCGATGGCGTGCAGTGTCAGACGCTCGCTCGGCGACTCCAGCATGGCGAGCTGCGCGTTCACCGCGCCCGCGATCTCATCCGCGGCCTCCGAGGCCAGGGCGTCCACCGCCCTGCCCATGACCCTGGCGCCCCCCGCGAGTGTCTCCAGGGGCTTCAGGCTCCACGAGGGGAACCTGCTGGACAGCACCTCGACCCAGGTGTCCCAGTCGCGCGCCGTGCCGCCGAGCCCGTGCACCATCACGCACAGCACCCTGCCCGCGACGGGTACCGCCGTCTCCATGGCGCGCGCGCGCGGGCGGCGCGCTCATGGCCCCGCGACGTCTCCCCGACCGCCAGAGGCGCTCCGGGACGCCCCGTGGCCCGACGTGGCTACGGAGACCAGGAGGAGCAGGGGGCAGGAGCAAGAGCAGGCGAAGGAGTCGGAGTGCTCTGGATCGTATCGTGTGTGTTCACCGTCGTGTGCACTAGATTTCGCACGATGCACATGGCATGCGCGTGGCGCGTGTGCAGTGACATGCGCACGCCTGAGGTTACACGCGTGAGCGAACAATGGCAACACACGTAACTACATAATTGATTGGTGGCTTCCACTTACAATAGCTAGAGGAGATAAACTTACTGGAACACTGAACCTATTAGCGCTCTCACGTACGTACTGCTCTTGGCCCGTCGACCTTAAACATTTTGTATGCGGACTTGCTCGTGCTGCTACCGATGCAACACGAAGCCTATCGCACACCGGAAGGTGTGCCCGTTCGCCTCATCATCAATCGAAGCGTGGTCTTGTGGTTATTGGGGGGGAAAGAAGACAACGGATGAGTAGGATGAGGAGTAGAGGGGATGAGAGAAGGAGTATTGCAGGATGAGGACTGCGACGAGAATGAGTCGATGAGGGCATACGGAATCGATGAGAGGTCCTTCTCGGCTCAGCGCTCGCTCTGTCATTCGCAACAGTCAGCGGGCGCGGGTGAGGAGGACGAGCAGACGCGAACGACGATGTCAACATAGCGCCTTGCCATACTGACTTTGTCTGGTGGTAGGTGGACCGATGTGGTTGTAGCCCTAGTCGGAGCAGGGCCAGTCCAGACAACGGTGGCACCTTCCTAGCGTTGTCATTCTTGGAACTCCTGGAAGATTCTCCTCAACACGGCCGATCCCCCTGTACACATACATATATGTATGTAGGTACATATTTACATGTGCATATCTACACACGTGATTACACATACAAACACGCATACATGTGTACACATATCGATGTATGTATATACAAGCACACATCAGCACATGTATACATACATACCTACCTACCTGTCTACCTACCGACCTACCTACATACATACATGCATCCACACACACATACATGAACATGCACAGCTTTAGACCTGGTTATAAGCACATCTACGCATAACCAATTTGCATAACAACCATACGTCTATAATGTACATATAGCGTCTCTCATGTCCGGCGAATATGTTTCAGGGCACACGCTTTCACAAGAAATGTTCGGTGGCGAGTTGATGTCACTCAGGATCGGGGGGGAGTCGAGGGGGTCATCGTTTGCTCAACAGTGCTTGATCCTTACTCTAGCCTCGTCTGCGTCTTTTTTGAAGCCTCCCGGGGAGGCCCTCGTCGTCACCCCTGAATGCGCCTCAAGATTCTAGTCAGAACGCATCCCGGGAGAGGCCCGGGGAGTAGCGGCATCAGCACCTGATGTACACGAAGAAGCAGACACGGCATACACACATCAACTTTTGGTGCTTCGCGCGGACGACTCTTGGGTCTGCACTGTGCACCCTCGCCGGCGCGAGGAGCGCGCCAGGGGGCGGCGTCGGAGGCGCCGCTCGGAGTGACAAATTCATGCACACGTGTTAACACGCGTCCACGAACTTGTCATGTGTTTTTTCTCCGTTTTTTAAACTCATTCAAGTTTTTTAAAACAAAAAAAGAAAAAAGAGAGAGTGAAACATCGCATGACATGTTGATTCAGTTTTCGAAGTTCCATAGCGCAAAATACTGGAAATCCGAAGGCGTCCCTGTGGGCGGGGACGTGTGCTCCGCAGGTCGCCGCGGCGGCCCTTGGCGGCACGCCGTGCCCCGCGGGCGAGCGGCGGATCGCCTCCGTCCGCGGGGGCGGGAGGCTCGGAAGGGCTCGGGCCGTGAACGCCTGGCTGACCATCGCTCGGACGTCCATTCCCTGTGTTTTTTTCGGTTTCGGGCGTGGCTTTTTCGCCAAATGATCGAGGATGCTCCTCGATGGTCCTCGCCGAAGGAAAAATTTACACGTCCGAGCGATGCCAAGCTGGAGACTGAGAGGTGGATACACAGTCAACCCGCATCGCAAGGGTGCGCGATGAGGATGCAGGGGCCCTGGAGGGCCTCTTCGAGGCTTCTCGAGCGGGGCGCGGCCCACGAAAGTGGCCAAGGATGAGCCGAGGAGGCAAGGAGGATGCAAGGGCAGGTCCCCTGTGGAAGAGTGCCCCAGCCGTACTAATCATGCGGGTTGACGGTATGGCTTGTCGCGCCGAGGTGTGGTGGGCCAGAGCCGGCGGAGAGACACGCTGTCCAGCAGTCCACGGCCCGGGGCAAGAGTGACCTCTGGTGTTAGGTCGGGCATGTCCCCCTACAGGCGGACTTTGGACAAAAGTTTAAAACATGCCCCAAAAATTGCCCTCCAAAATGGTAAACAATAGTCATAACATCCTCCCCAGACTACGCGTCGTTCATGTCTAATCGTGCTCATTCTAATTGTGCTCGTTGCTAATTGTTCCTGGCCCCCTAGTGGCCAGGAAGAGGCCCAGGATAGAAGAATCAGAAATGAAATGAGAGGATCTTGGCCCCCAAAAAATCAAGGATCTTTCGAATACTTAGAAATGAACACTGGCTATTGTTTGACCATTTTTGAACATTCCTACTCAAGAGGGACATGCCCGACTTCAGGCAAAAGAGGGACCTCTGGAATGCGCGGCCCCAGGCCCAGACAGGCGACGTCCTGACTTTCCAGGACGGGGCCCCAGGAAGTCCCGACTCTTTATCATCCTCCTCCTCCTCCTCTTCCTCCTCCTCCTCCTCGCTCTCCTCCTCCTCCTCGTCCTCCTCCTCATCTTCCTCCTCCTCCTCGTCCTCCTCCTCCTCGTCCTCCTCCTCATCCTGCGCCGTTTTTTGAGACGGCCCCGAGGCCCGGCGATGGCCCCCCGAGGCCGCAACTGGCCCAAGAAACATCCCGCCCTGACCTTTTTACGACGCGATCATGTCTGGGGGGGAGGTGGCCTCTGGAGAAGGCCCTCTCCTTCTCCCTTTTCCCCCCCTCTTCCGCCTCCAGCATGCGTGAGAATTGTTTCTGCCCGACGACCACGGCGAGCGAAGAGAAAAGCGACACCCGGTGCACAGACGGTACCCTCTGAGAGAGGCCCGCGAGAGGAGTTCCTCCTCCTCCTCCTCCTCCTCCTCCTCCTCCTCCTCCTCCTCCCCTTCCTCCTCCTCATCCTCCTCCGCGAGCATGTCTGGGGGAGAGAGGGGGGCGCGCGACGGGGCCGAGCCGGAGCGCCCGGGCCGCCTCTCCCGCACCGCATCTCCCGCGATCGGGCGGACTCCCCAGTGGGCCTGCCCGCCTGGGCGGCCCGAGCCCCGATCCAGCTGCGCTCGCCCGGGGGGCCCCCCTGGAGGCACTCGCTCGACTCCTGCGCCGATGCTGCGCCGAACGTCTGTGGACTCGAGTGGAACCTGAGTCGAACCGGAGTCGAACTTGAGTCGAGCTGGAGTCGAGCTGGAGTCGGTCTGGGGGTTGAGCGTCTCCGTTCGGTGGGCCCCAGAGACGGTCCCTGAAACGAACATCTGGATCAAGGACGGAATCACCTTCCGAATTCCCTGAAACCAGGCCCCAAGCCGGTCAAACGACAACGGCCGGCCTGGAGTGGAACGCCAGCAAAGGTGGGGCCCGGGAGGGCTCTGGCGAGTGAGCTTGCAAAGGCTTTGGCCCTCCTGCCCCCGTTCGGGGGCATCGAAAGAGGGGGGCGTGCAAGAGGGGGGGTCGCAAATCATGGCCCGAGGCACGTGCGCGGCCCAGGGGTGGCCAGGAGACGTATTGCAAGAAGAGGGGGCACAGGATCGGGGAGATAGCATGGCCCCCGCCGCGATGTCTCCCCACCCCTAGTCATTACCCCCCTCTTGGCAGCCCCCGACCCGTGGTTCGGCATACATTGGCGCGAGCAGCCGGGGACACCCTTGGCTTTAGGCGGCGGCCCCGAAGGGTGTGGTTTGCGAAGGGTGTGGTTTGCAGCTGGCACCCTGAGGGGCAGCCTGCGGGGCAGGCGGGGACCTCGATCGGGCTCTCCGCCGCGCCCCGAGGAGGCCCGACGAGGATTGTGTCGTGCCCCCGAGGCCCCAACGGCGCCGATCGCAAATTACACCCTAGCGTAATCACACCCTTGTAGTCTCGGCTACACGCAAGAGTGACCCTAGGCAAGAATGACCCTTGCTGCGCGGCTTGACGGGGGACGCGCAAGCCGCTGCTACCGCTTCGCGTTCAGCGATCGGGGGATCCCATTGGGCCTGCACCCAAGGTCACTCCAGCGAAAGGTCACTCTTATGTCTAATCTTAGGTCGGGCATGGCTCCCTAATGGCGGATTTTGAAAAGTTGACAATAGCCAAAAGATGATCCAAATTATTTGCAATAGAAATAAACAATCGTCCCCACATTATTTTTGGACTAGTTTGGAATGTTCCTCCTGTAGAGAGGGGCACGCCCGACTTCAGTCTAATCGACAATCGCCGACATATGGCCACTCTTACTCGCCGACACAGGGACACTCATGCTGCCCCCCCCCGGCTCATCCTCCGCCCGCGTGTGGCATGCGAGCTCGGGCTTGCCACCCCCGCCCCTGGGCTCCACAGAAGCAGCTCTTCGGGCGGTGTTACAAGCACCCCCGGCCCAAGGTACACCCAGGACTCTCGGGGTGGCCCAGACCCAGGGCACCCCTCACGATGCCCAGAGGGCCCCAGGGGCTCCACCATGGAGCGAAAGGAAGCTGGGGGCACCTTGAACCAGGGGCACTTCCAGCAACACCCGAGCCTTTCGTCCCGGAGCCATTCTTGACCGGGCCCGACAACGGGCTGCAATCGAAGCTCAACGCCCAGACTAACAACGACCGACAAAAGACACATCGCCTAGAGGCCTCCTGGATGGGGGCCGAGCAGATGGGGACGAAGGATCGCTCCGCATCGCCGATACATCGGCGATGCATCACCGATGCACCCGCGACGTCGGCGACGCACTTTTG